CTTCATCTGACCCCATGCCCAATCCTTAAAGCTGCAAACCTGCAGTTTCTTTAGGCTCCACCAGGCTATTATGTTCCCTTCCTGACCTCTTTTCCTGCCTTTCCTTCGGAGCTGACCATAAAGCCACAGCTTCTTTAGGCCCTCATGGCTTTTGTGACTTTTTCCTGTGGATGAGACCTCTCCCAGAGTTTGGTTCTCATCCTCTCCTTCTAGCCTTCACCAAAGCCCTGGTACCAGGCACTGAGTCTCTCCTTGGGCTTACGCAGGCTAAGTCCTTGACCACTGTTGAGGGTAGTGATGACCTACTGAACAGTTTGTGTCTTCCTCTGGCCCTTCCTGAGTCACAATGTGCAGTTTTCTATGGCCCAGGCATCCTAACCCACAACAGGAGCAGTTCAATTGAGGTAAACTGAGGTCTGTCCCATTTGGAAACTTGGAAAGAACACTGGAGTTCTTGAGGTTTCACCGTGCTGAGAGTCCACCTGGGTATTACTTTAAAGCTTTCATCTTGGCCTTTGCTGGTGGTGTGCCTGGTAGACTGTCACTGAAGGCCCAGTAATGCCCGACAAATCTTGTCCTATCTGTGTAGATCTGCTGTCAGACTTTGACTTTGGTACCAGTATCATGTAGTCATAAAATTTAATAACTAGCATCTGGTATCAGCCTTTTTCTTTTGGGCTACCACTCAGCTCCCAAATCATGACACAGAAACTTATTAGTTATGAATATTCAGTCTGGCTAGCTCTTTTAACTTAAATAACCTGTTTCTCTTTATCTACCTTTTTCTTTTCTTTTTGTTTTGTTTTGTTTTTTGTTTTTCGAGACAGAGTTTCTCTGTGTAGCTTTGGAGGCTGTCCTGGAACTAGCAGTTGTAGACCAAGCTGGTCTTGAACTCACAGAAAGCTGCCGGCCTCTGCATCCCAAGTGCTGGGATTAAAGGTGAGCACCACCACTGCCCAGCTCTTAAACTACCTTTTGTCTCAGGGCTTTTAGCCTTTTTATCCCTCTGTATATCTTACTTGCTTCTTGCATCCATAGTCTGGCCCTTTGGTGTATCTTGGTGAGACTCTCCCTACCTCAGGGGGATCAAGCTTAGGCTCCACTACCCTTGGATTTCAGAACAGCCCATGCCACTACCATGAACTTCTGCAGTGCTTTAGCACTCTGAATGTTTGCAAAAAAGGAACTTCCAGGTGCTGTGTGACAAAGCTTTTCCTGAGATGGAACACACATTCTAGATAGAGAACCCATGACAGACCAAAGTATAGCCACCACCCAAGTCCAATTTGGTGAACCAGTGAGTTTTATTGGGGGTTGCTTTCAGGATTAGAAATGACTCAAAGACAGTTGCATCACCAAGGGCCACTCCAGCATGGTGACAGCTCACAAAAGCTGAAAGCCGTGAGCACACTGCACAGCCTGCAGGCAGTTCAACAGGTTGGAGAGTGTCCTTTCCAGGTGCCTCGAATTGGTCTAAATCTGTTCCAAACAGCTTGGCTAGTTTCTATTTCTTTGAGGCAGCTGTTTTGATCTGAGCCTTCTTTGCAGCTTTTCTCCTTTGAGACTCTTCTTTGCAGTCCAGCTTTTTTTAGTTGGAGAGGGATTTTTCTCAGCTTTTGTTTACTCTGGCAGGAAGGTGGGGGTAGTGAATCTGGTTGGTTTCAGGGACTTCCTGAAATTATTTTGAGTTGTTTAGCTTCCTGCTTAAGTAGTTTCCCTGGGGGATGGAATGTTTCAATATCAGAGGAAACTGTTACACAACACCAGGGCTGTCAAAGTGGATCAGTTATGAAGAGCACTAGTTGTTCCTGGGAGGATCTGTGTATGATTCCCAGAAACCACATGTCAGTTCATAACCATCTGTAGCTCCAGTTCTAGGGGATCTAGTGCCTTCTTCTGGCCTCCACAGGTACCACACACAGGTACACATACATAATATACATGTGGAACAGCCATACTTATTAAAAATAATTGAAAATTTAAATTATTTAAGAATTAAAAAAAGAGAACATCTAGGCATATTGTGTTGGAGGATACAGAAAAAAACAACTTTCTTACTGAAGAAGAAAGATTACAGGAGGGGAGTGAAGGGACTAGTATTACACCCCAAGACTAAGTTCTCAGCACAAAGGGACAAAGTGCAGGCAATAAGAGACAAAGACAGGAGACAGAGGATGAGGGACAAGGGGAAAGCAACAAGGGAGAGGGGGGAGGGATATTTGTCCTGGAGGGACAAAGGACTGCCTCTGGATAGAGAGACAGATGTGACCCATAAGCAAGTAAATAAAGGTAAAAGGGGAAACCCTGTGTTAGGGTGAGGTTTTTGTCTGTTTTGTTTTGTTGGAATTGGGCATGTTAATCAGGACAGTCAAAAGCAAGGTTTTGATTGCTGGACTTCATTACTGTGATAGCTGGATCTTAGTAGTTTGCCTCAGGAGGAGGAAGTGGCTAAATCAGTGAGTAGACCTTGGTGGCTAACTTCAGAATGTAATCTTCTAATGGTTTTTAACAAGGAAGAGGTAGTGGTCAGAGGGTAAGGTCATGTTTGCCATGCTCGGGTCAGCTATAGCCCCTTCAATGAGAGATAAGAAGCTCCAGCCTACTTCAAACACATGTGCTGCAAAGGTGAAGAAACTACCCGTGTCTCCTTATCTTTGACCCCCTTATCTCGAGCCTCTTCTGGGAGCTGGAATGCTATTTACTACTAAGTCATTTGAAATGAAACTATTCCCCACACATTAATTCTGAGAGACCATTAGGTCTTTGTAAACAAATTCTTAGATTGCTTTGGCCAGACTTCTACTCATCTCATCTAATGCTTTATACTTTTTTTTTTTTTTGGCTTTTCAGATAAGATCTAATTTCACATGTAACACAGTGCTTTGCTTTGTAAGATGTTACAGGATATTTTGCTTTTCATCTTAGTTTTTAAAGCAAACATTTTTTTTTTCTGTGAAGCACTGAAGAGTGGTGACTGAGGGCTGGAGAGATAGATGGCTCAGCTGTTAAAGGCTAGACTCACAACCAAAAATTTAAGAGTAGTGACTGCGTTAGTCTAGGTTAGAGGGATAGCATAGCACTAGCCAAAGCATACCCAATTACAGAGCACTCATGGTTCTTGTTGCCTGCTCCCTTCTCTATGTGGGATAAATTAGGGAGCTCCCACAGTGACCTGCGGAGGTTCTTCATAGCCCCATCCCACTTAATAGAAGAATGGGAACACCCTGTTTATACAGGCAGGAGAAGGTGTGTAGATGTCTGCAACAGGCTATACAAACAGGTTGGGTGCCACTGGATCTCCTAAGATCAAGCTGATAGACTGCTAAGGGTACTAGGTTCCTTTGCTAAACTACTGGGGATCCTGTAGATTCTTTCCTTGAAAGAAAAGCATGCCACTGTTTTCTACTGAGTAAAGTATTTCAATGCATCAGCACTGCAGTCCTTAGCTAGAGAGATGGCTCAGCAATTAAGAGCACTTGCAGAGACATGGTTTTGATTCCTAGCACCAACTTGGTGCCTCACAACTGTCTGCAATTCCAGCCTCAAGGGATCTGACACCCTCTTTTGACCTTCATGGGCACTAGGTAGGCATGTGGCACACACATACATACAGGCAAAACACTCAAATACATAACTTAATGAATTTAAAACCAACTTTTAAAAAAGCACTGCTGTCCCCTAAAGCTTTGCTGAGATTGTCATTTTTAAATTACATTTTCTTTAGTTGTTTTGTATGTGTGTTGGGACTGTGGGTTAATATGAGCCACTGCCTATATGTTTGGAGGTCAGAAAATAATTTATGGGGTAGGTTCTCTCGACACCATGTGGGTCCCAGAGCTCAAAGTTGGGTTTTCAGGCCTGGTATCAAGTGCATCCGGTGAGCCATCTCTCCCATCCCTTTCTTTTTCTGCTATTTTTAAGTGTGGAAAATTTTGAGGGCTGCTTGGTGCCAAGGCCAGCGGGTGACCTCAGTGTCACTCCTCAGAAATGAAGGGTGTGGATGACCAAAATATGCCATCTTAAAATACACTTCTAGTTGTGGAATGATCATTCAGACGAGAAACTGCAGGCACAAGCATAAGTCAGAAAAGCACCCTGGAAAAGAAATGCACATGGGTTATCTACATTAGTAATCAGGGCTATTAGCATCTTGCATGCAATCCAGAGGTTGTCACCTGTCCTTTGAGAGTATTTCCTGCAAAATTTTGGCACTGTGGGACTGCTGCACTTTGGGATTCCCTCAGTTCACAGAACACTTCCTTCATCAACCCTCAGGAGCCCTCGGGCCAGGGAATCTCTCTGTGGCATAGAAACTCAGTCATCCGGCTTTGACTGGCTTCGCGCCTCCGAATGCAGGCCACACACTAGATGCTTGGGTCCACACAAACTATCCACTGCTGGTTTACTCCAGCCCAGCCCAGCCAGGGGATCCTTCGTCCGGCTCAGTTAGACCAAACACAGTTCAGATGAAATGTCGCCTGTTTGTCTTAAACTTATTGCTATTTTCTTTTTTTAAAGTTATACAGGCCCAACCTCGGGTGGTCGTGTTTGGATTTTTAAGGTGGCACCCCTCACAAAGCCCCCCGTTTCTAAAGTATTTTTATAACATTCGTTTGACTGTAGACTTCGCTTTGCGATTATTTCCATCAGGTGGGGCAAGACGACTTCCTCAGGCCAAGAAGCCGCAAAGACGGGCGGGTACTACGAGAAGGGCGGAAAGCCGGGAGCGCCCACGGACTCCGGGAGCCAGCTTCGCTGGGCAGGCCCCGCCCACACTCGGTGCAGGCGACGGCCGCCTCCCGGCCCGAATCCCGCCCCAGCTGCTCGTTGGAGGCGGGCGGCTCGCCCAGCCGGCGCACGAGCTCTTTGGTATACCAGAGGCCATCTCGCTTTGCAGCACCGCCCTCCATGACTGACGTGTCTCTGCACCAATAGAACGTGGCCATTTTCGGCCTCTGCACGTCCCTAAACTTGCAAGTGGCCAGTGCCTAGCGATCCACGTGGCGCCGAGCCAATCGGAAGTGGTCCAGTCTCTGCGCCGGAGCTTGCTGTGCAAGCCTTGGCTGCCTTAGCAGGACGCGCGTGCACAAGGAGGCCCGCGGAGCCCTGCCATGCAGCTCCCAAAGGACGCTACCGGGCACAGCCCGCTGGCCTCAGTGGTAGGTATGGCGGGGTGAGACTCGCACCCCCCCGTCCCTTCTATAGCCCTTTCTCCCTCCGGACCGCTAATCCTTTTTGGGCTGGCAGCCGCTGGGTCTTTCCGGAACGCTGCCGCTGGTTCAGGAACCTCAGCTTGGAGGGCTCCCACCCTTTTCCCGTTTCAGTGCGTGTGTACAGATGGCGTTCCTGTCCGGCACACTGCTCCCTTAGCCCCCCGCTCACCTCGCCAGCATGCCACACCTGGCCAACGTACACAGCTGGTGGGTTAGATGTCAGGGGCCAGGACTCATTTTTCATGCCAATTTTACTCAAGTTGGGAACAGGTAAATTAAGGCCTAACTTTGTCAAAAAATTCACATTATATCTCCTTTTTGTTGCTAGGTCTCCTGTGGTTCTGACTGGCCTGCAACACACGTAGCTGAGACTGTCCTTGAGATAACCCTCCAGCCCCACATCCTACTTAACTGATAACAAATAAATATGAGTCACCACACCCTTCTTCACTTTAAATCTTGTTTTTGAGAAAACTAAAAATGTTCTTTTCCTTTACAAAGTAAGTCCAGAGGACTTGCACATGCAAGGCCCTGGGTTCAATCCCCAGAAGCTCAAATAATAAATAAAAATCATTTTCAGAACACAAACAGGATAAAATGCCATTTTTGGACCACCAGCTCCTCAAGAGCATTTCACTTGTAAAGAACTTGGTAAACTTTGTCTTCAATACTCATTTATAAGCTTTTTATAACTATGTTCACATTCAGTAACTTAAAAATGGATATTATGTGTAGATGTTATCTATAGTGATCTGTATAGATGCTGTCTGTGTTGTATGTAGGCCTTGTCTATGGAGACTATGTAGATAGTCTGTGCCACATATGGCTATGCAGCATGTGCATATATGTGTGCAACCTATTGGTTTTCCTTCTCAGAAACTTGTTCACTTTTGTTTTTGCACATTTACTCAAGGGTGACACTGACTGTTAATTTCTGTGGCTATTCTTTACTACTTACTGTGCTATATAAAATGGAGGCAGTTCCTATGACAATTGTCCTTTTAGTCATCAAGTTTTAGTGATTTTATTTCATACCACTTTAGAAACTTTTGACTTTATGAGACTCCCCGAGAGAAAGTGCTGCTGCCTGAATTCAACTTTAGAACAAAGATACAGACCTCTGCATACCCGTTGGTCTGGCTTGGCTATGTGATTAGCCGTGCAGTGCTATGAAGGGGTCACTCTGTTAGAGTTTTCCTAAGGGTGAGTTTGCCATCTAGTCAGGGGATGGTTCTCAGGAGGAGGAGATAGATGGTTTAATCAGAATGATGATGCTTTTGCCTAGTGATTGTAGTCATGAATTTACTATGGAGCTGGAGGGGCGTTTTGATGCTTTTCAGCCCCCCCCCCCACACTTTAGAAGCATCTAGAAGGGAATGTGGATAGATAGATCAGTGGGTAAAAGGCACTTTCCACCAAGCTTGACAACCTGAATCCGTTCTCCACTGTCATTTGTACACATATGATAATAGATAAATGAATAAAATAGTTTTTTTAAGCATCAAGAACTTGAGGGGAACCTAACACCTATTAAGTCTTATGGGCCAGATGAATGTCAAGAGCTTTAGAGAGGAGAAATAGATACCTTTGGTTTGTTGGGCATGCCCTAGCATGAGGCCTGGTTCTAGGCCTTCTGAAGGCCAGATCCTCATCTTTTGGGATAACTGTCTGATGGATGCTGAAGGGAGTGCAGTTCCTCATGGCTGTTTGTTAACCCATTTCTCTAAATTCTAGTCTATTATCCTCCCGGTGCACAATGCTGAACAGTGGTTGGATGAGTGCTTGGCATCTGTTTTGCAGCAAGACTTTGAAGGCACCATGGAGCTCTCTGTCTTTAATGATGCCAGCAAGGTATTTATGGGTGAACTGTTGGGTGACTTAATGCTTTACAAACCACATTTAAGGGACGTTGCCTGACGTGCAGTGTCACACTTACAGGACAAGTCTATGACCATCATTGAAAAATGGAAGATGAAACTGGAAGATTCTGGCATCTCTGTAGTCATTGGAGGCCATGACTCTCCTTCTCCAAGAGGAGGTAACATACTAAATTATAATTACAGTTTCTTAGCAACCTATTAACTTAAATGGTTTCATATTGTTCCATTCTGGAGAAAAGTATCCTGGTAATGAAAAGCATATCGGTAATCTTCAGGTCTGGTGATTAGGTCTGCACCTACTGAGAACCAAGTGGACCTCAGTTTCTGTCTGTCTCTTTGTGTCTCTGTCTCTGTCTGTATAGTCCTGACTGGTGTGGAATCTGCTGTGTGGATCAGGCAGACTTTGAACCCACAGAGATCAGCCTGACTCTGCCTCCCATCCAGCCAGTTTCTCATTCTTTGGTAAGGATTTACTGCTGTCTCGATGTTTATGACCACTCCTAATTTGTAGTTGGAGACTAATCCATGTAGAGGTGTAGTTGGAGTCTAGTCCAGGTGTAGGATTCAGGAGGTATGGCCTTTGAGAGGTGATGGGGTCATGGAGGTGGAGACCCATAAATGAGTATGGGATTCGTGCTTTCTAGAGGCCCTAAATAGTTTCAGTGAACCAGGAATCAGCCTTTACCAGATGCCAAGGCTAGTAGTGCATTGATCTTGGATGTATGTCATTCTCTTAATTTCATGGGTTACTCTGGTCCAAGGCAATCACTGAAGTATTTCATGTCTGCAGATTTGTCAGTTCTGGACATTTAATATCAATGCAACCATAATATGTACTGACTTAGTTCCTTAAGCCAGTTTTACTAGTATCCATCTGTTATATCAATACTTCATCCCTTATTAGAGAATAATTCAGTTGTACAGATAAACTATTCTATTTATCCATTTCATCAGTAGATAGGCATTTAGATTTTTCCACTTGGAAATTCTTATCAGTGGTGCCCGTACAAATATTTGTGTACAAGGTTTGGTTTGAACACTTGATTTTCAACTATTTTGAGTATATGAACATTGTTTTTAAATCTATTGAGCATATACCTTATTTATCATCTGTATTTATCATCTTGAGGGACTGCCAAACTGTTAATTTCACTGATTATAGTATTTTACACTTTCTAGTGGTTCCAGTTTACTCATATCCTGACAGTCACTTGTTATTTTCTTTGGTAATTACTATTCTAGCCATTCAAGTGAGTGTGAAGTAATTCATGGTTTTGTTTGCATTTCTAAATGGCTAATGATGTTGAACCTTCCATATACTATGTGTATCTTTGGAGAATTATCTGTTGAACTCTTGGCCCACTGTTTACTTGAGTAGTTTGTCTTTGCATTGCTGAGCTCTGAAAACAGTATACATAGTCTTCTTACTGTGTGTGTGTGTGTGTGTGTGTGTGTGTGTGTGTGTGTGTGGTGGGGGGTTATCTTTTTTATTCTTTTGTGGTAGTTGCCTTTGGTGCACAAAAATTTACAGCCGATGAAATCCAGTTTAGTGTTTTCTTCACAGCATGTCTTTCAGTGTCAATATCTAAAACAAGTATTGCTAGATCAAGGGACTAAAGAAATTACTCCTCTATTTGTTTTTTGAGATAGGGTTTCTCTGTAACTTTGGAGCCTATCCTGGAAGTCACTCTGTAGACCAGACTGGACTCGAACTCACAGAGATCCACCTGTCTCTGCCTCCCTAGTGCTGGGATTAAAGGCGTGCACCACCAACGCCTTGCGAAATTATTCCTTTTTTATTTTGGAGAGTTTTATTCTTTTAACTCTTATATTTAGTCTTTAATCCATTTGGAGTTGATTTCTATAAATGGCAGGAGATAGGAGACTAAACATCTGTTTTGAAAACTCTGTAGATGTTAATATCATTTCAACAGCATTCAGCATCTCTCTCTCTCTCTCTCTCTCTCTCTCTCTCTCTCTCTCTCTCTCTCTCTCTCTCTCTCATGTTTATGGGTATTCTGCCTGTGTGGTCGTCTGTGCATAACATGAATGTACCTGGTGCCCTGTAGGCCAGAAGAGGGTGTCAGATTCCTGGAGACTGGAATTACAGACAGTGTGAGCTGCCACCTAGGTTCTGGGAATTGAACTTGGTCCTCTGGAAGAGAAGAGTGGTCAGTGCTCACCACTGAGCCATCTCTCCAGTCACCTACAGCTTCCTTCCGTGTGTGTGTGTGTGTGTGTGTGTGTGTGTGTGTGTGTGTG